CAAAATTAGGGTCAAAAGAGGAAATAGCACAACAGACTCTCTCTCTCTCTCACACACACACACACACACACGCACGTGTACAAAACACAGACTATTTTAGGAGAATACTATACTCCATTAAATTTTAAATTTGAAAGATTAAAAGAAATGGATGAATTTCTAAAGTCATGTACAACACCCAGGTTAAACCAAGAAGAGATCAACAGCTTAAACAGACCAATTGCAAATAAGGAAATTGAAACAGTAATACAAAACCTTCAGACTGAAAAAAAGAAAACCCAGGTTCTTATAGGTACATAGTAGAATTCTACCAGACATTCAAATATCTACAACCAATACTGCTTAAATACTTAAGCAGACTGAAATAGAGGGACAGTTCCCAACCTACTTCTATTAAGCCAGTATCACTCTAATACCCAAACCAGGTAAAGAGACAACAAAAAAGAAAACTATGGGCTCACATCCTTAAAGAACACAGATGCAAAAATAGTCAACAAAATACTCTCAGTCTGCATTCAGACACATATCCCAAGATTATGTTGCCTTTCATCCAGAGATGCATGGACAGTTCAGCATACATAAGACAATAAAGGTAATAAAACAAAAAAAATGGACTGAAAGACAAAAACCCCAGGGTGATGTAGAAAATACCTTTGACAAAATCCAACATGCACTCATGTTAAAAGTCTTAAAAGGAATTGGTTGGAACATACCTCAACATAATTAAAACTATATACAGCAAACTCATAGCCAACATCACCATAAATGGAGAATAACTGGAAGCATTCCCATTAAAATCAGGATCCAGAAAGGGCTGTCCATTATCTCCTCTCCTTTACAATATACTGCTTGAAAATCTTGCAAGAGCAATAAGAGAGGAGACAGAAATTAAAGGAGTACAAATAGGAAAAGAAGAGTCCAAATATCACTATGTGCAGACAACATATTATACCTAAGATATCCCAAACTTCCACCAAGAAAAAAAACTGTTAGAAATGATATTCTTTCAGTAATGTGGCAGGTTACACAATCAACTTACAAAATTCAGTAGCCTTTTTATGACTTAATAACAAGCAACCAGAAAAATTGTTCAAGGAATCCCTCCATTTCACCATACCCCTCCCAAATACTTAGGAAATGGAAAGACCTAACATGGTCATAGATTGGTAGAATTAATATTGTGAAAATGACAATCTTACCAAAAGCCATCTATAGTTAAATGCAATGTCAATCAAAATACTAATGACATTTTTCACAAAGCTAGAAAAAAAGTTACCCCAAAATTCATATGGAATGAGAAAAGACCTGGTAGCCAAAACAATCTTGGACAAAAAGATCAAAACTATATGAAAAACATACCAGATCTCAAGTTATATTATAGAGCTGTAGCCACTAAAACAACATGGTACTAGCACAAAAGTAGAAACATAGATCAATTGAATACAATAGAAAACCCAAACATGATTACATGTTTTTGTTTTTTTTTTTTTTTTGGTCTTTTTGAGACAGTGTCTCCCTATAGCCCCAGCTGTCCTGGAACTCACTATGTAGACCAGGCTGGCCTTGAACTCACTGAGATCCTCCTCCCTCTGCCTCCCAAAGTGCTGGGATTAAAGGTGTGTGCCAACATGCTGTATACAACACAATAGAAAACCCAAACATGATTACATGTTTTTGTTTTTTTTTTTTTTTTGGTCTTTTTGAGACAGTGTCTCCCTATAGCCCCAGCTGTCCTGGAACTCACTATGTAGACCAGGCTGGCCTTGAACTCACAGAGATCCGCCTCCCTCTGCCTCCCAAAGTGCTGGGATTAAAGGTGTGTGCCACCATGCTGTATACAAAAAACCCACAACAAAAATCATTCAAAATAGAGAAAACTGGAAGCATTCCCATTAAAATTGGGAACTAGATAAGGGTGTCCACTATCTCTGATCCTTTTCAACATAGTGGTTGAAACTCTTGCTAGAGAAATAAGGCAAGAGAAAGAAATTGAAGGAGTACTAATTGGAAAATAAGTCAAATTATTCCTTTTTGTAGACAATATGGTACTATACCTAAGAGATCCTAAAAGTCCCATTAGGAAACTCCTAGAACCGATGAACATGTTCAGTATAGTGGCAGGTTATAAAATCAATCTACAAAACCTAGCAATTATCTATATACCAATAACAAGCAATTGAAAAAAGTGTACAGGGAAATGTTCCCATTAATAGTAGCTGCAAAAAAGAGAATATCTTGCCTTA